CATACTATACACACTTATGATGATTTATGTAAATAAAAGTAAATATAGGTGAATATATTTTTATTTTTTTTTAAATAAATTCAATTTTTATTCTTTTAAAAATAAGAAGGAAAGTTTTTAATCGATCCCCGACTCTCTTCAACCATCGTCCAATTTCTTGCTTCGCCATTTTCTTATCACTACATTTTTGACACAAAAAACACTCGACTGAATAAAATAACAGGAAACCACAAGCACCAAAAATAAGTAAAAAAAAATCTAAATGAAACTGTCTTGTAATGAATTATCACATCACAACTGTACTCGAGGTGAAAAATTCGTAACTAAATAAATTAGGTTAGGTTAACATAACCTAACATAATAAATATGCTTTAATTCTTCTTTCTCATGGTAGATACTTAAGACGTAATAAGTACGTACTCTTCTGTACGTACTGGTATGTACATACTTAAGACGTAATAAGTACCTACGCTTCTGTACGTACTGGTATGTACCCCAATGTACGTACTTAAAATGGTATTTAATGTATTTAGTCTAAGTGAGAGCGCCCACCAAAGTGGCGTGGCAGTGGCAAGTAGCAAGTAGCACGCGTCTAGCATAATGTAACCAATGAAAACGAATGATTCAGTTTACACCAAAATGACAGTAACGTCATTCATTCTAATCATTCGTTAGGATTGGTTACATTATGCTAGACGCGTGCTACTTGCTACTTGCCACTGCCACGCCACTTTGGTGGGCGCTCTCACTTAGATACCTCTTTTGCATTCGAGGGCAAACTATCAAAAAGTGCGGTTCATGGATTCTTCCTTATGGAATAGGCATGTTTCCAATTTTAAAATTGGCAGCATTTAGTAAAATATATTTAAAATCAAATTCTAAATACGTTTGGGGGGATTTCTCCATTCCCCCGTGTATCTGCCATTGCTACAGCTACAAAATCTGTATACGTTGAAAAAATTATGAAAAGAAAAACATTATACTGTTATTTTTTTTTCTAGTTTCGTGCATCCTTGCGAAAATTGTGCTGTTCCTCACGGCTACCAACACGTCTTAAGACTATCGACAGATGCCGAATTGTTTTCAGTAAGTCTTTGAATAACTTTAATTTACTCGTTTTTACCATAATATATAAAAAATCAATAAGAAAAATCCTGATCGGAGCTAAACTAAACCGTCGTCAGCCCAAACCAGTCCGTTACTGAACATGGTCCTCCCCAAGCAACTTTTGTTTCAATTAATTCTACGCTGTATCAATACAATTGGTACGGATTAATATCGTCAGTGCGTCTTGTTGCATTGCATCTATTTGCTCTTGGTCTTTATTCTAATCATAGTAGTATTATTAGAGTTAATCTAAGTAATAACATGTGAAAGTTTCTTTGTGAAATACTTTGTGAAAGTTTCAAGCCTACGCACTCTTAAAAAAAGAATAATTTTATAATTTGTAATTTTTTGCGGTTATTTAAACCATTTTGAACCAATTTGAGTTTAACATGTCTCGAAAAATATTTGAAATGCATATCGTCAAATGTTTAAGAGCTATCTTAAAAAGAGACTGTCTTTTTTTATCTATAAATATATGCTTATAATGAGGGAATAAAAGAGACTGTTCCAATTATAGAGGTATTAGTGTGACGAGCTCTGTGGGCCGGTTGTATGGCAGAATATTAAAGAAGAGGGTTGAAAGACAGATACAAGATATTGAAGAACAAATCGGCTTTCGTACCGGGAGATCCTGCCTTGATAATATATTTATCCTACGACAAATAATTGAAAAGCGTGTCGAAAGAAGTAGAGAGACCCATTTGGTATTTATAGACCTTGAGAAAGCATATGATAGTGTCCCGTTAAAGAAAATGTTTGAGGTCCTCAAAAGGTCCGGATTAGATTCGACGTATATCCGAGCGATATATAAATTGTACCAAAATGCAGTTAGTTGTGTAAAAAATGGAACCAGAACCTCAAATGAATTTAAAGTCACTAAAGGCCAAAAGCAAGGATGCTGTTTGTCACCGACACTCTTTAAAATATACGTCCAAGAAGCATTGAGGAATTGGAGAAATAAATGTAGATTTATGGGCATCGAAGTGGGACAAGAAACTCTGTATACATTGTTGTTTGCAGATGATCAGGTGGTGGTTGCAACCGATGAGGAAGATATAAATTATATGAATCGAAAATTATTTGAGGAATATGCCAAACGGGGGCTTACTGTAAACATAAGCAAAACAGAATATCTAAAAATTGGAGGAAATACCACAGATCTGAGGCTTGAAAACGCAGTCATAAAAGGCTGCAACCAGTATAAATATCTAGGAAGCATCATATCAGCAGATGGCAGAGTTAAGATAGATGTACAAAACCGAATAACCCAAGGGAAAAAATGCATCCGAATACTGAATTCATTACTGTGGTCTAATAAAATAAAGATGCATACCAAACTTCGCGTATACAGAGCAATTGTAGAACCAATTACCACATATGGTGCCGAATGTTGGACGATGACAAAGAATGAACGAGATAAATTAGACGTTGTGGAAATGGATTATCTTAGAAGGTCATGTCGAGTATCGAGAATGGAAAGAATCAGGAATGAGGAAATACGAAACCGTACAGGAATTAGAGATACTCTCTCAGATAGAATACAAGGAAGGCAATTACAATGGTATGGTCACGTGATGAGAATGGAGGAGGAGCGGTGGCCAAAGAAAACCTTAATGTATGTTCCGCCAGAAAGAAGGAAAAGGGAAAGACCACCAAATTCCTGGAGAAGAGAAATTACAAAAACAATGCAATCTAGAGGCTTAGAAGAGGGAGATTGGAGAGATAGGAAAAGATGGAGGCTGAAATGCGGGAAGCGGCAATCGCCGTAGGACCCCCGTTATATGATGATGATGATATGCTTATAAACTTTATCTATAAATCAATCGAGTATTTTTATAATATGGCAGCCTCTTACGAACTACCATAAATCTTCCATAGTTTTTCATTAAATCTAATGAATTATGTTTTTTTAAGTTAAGCAAGTAACAGCACATTCTAGAAATATTCAAAAACAAACTTTTTGCTTATTTATGATATTTGCTTACTTATGCGTGACTTTATACACCATATTATTACCGTTTACTACATCCCAATCTCCATTTCTTCTTGTCGTAAATATCTTCAAAATCAAACTTTTATAGATATTTGCTTACTTATGCGTGACTTTATACACCATATTATTACCGTTTACTACATCCCAATCTCTATTTCTTCTTGTCGTAAATATCTTCTTCGGTGAGATCTATTGTTTCCATTGCTGATTTTATTTGTCCGTTCCACTGTAGTCTAGGACGTCCTCTTTTCCTGCAGCTTGCTCTCCAAAACACCATTTTCATTGGATTTATTCTATTTCCATTCTTCTGTATGAGCCATATAGTGAGCAGCTTTCCACTATTGTTTGAAAGATGTGGTGTTTTTAATTTTGCTTGTAATATCGTTGCTCCATATAATCGAGTATAATTATCGCGTTTTTTTATTTTAATTATCACACCCATTTCATCTGATCCTGTGTTTGTTAAAGTTACCCCCAGGTATTTAAATTTATTTGTTTGTTTTATTGAGTTGTTATTCGCCTCCAGGTCTTCTGCGGTGTTTTCAATGGCTATGTATTGCGTTTTATCATAATTAATTTCCAACATCAGCTTCCAAATTCTTCTTTCATCTTTTTTATTATGATCGCAACTGTTTCGTCCTTCCTTTACTGATTTTCTCATACAACCTAACCACAGAAGGTGCGACGCATAGTCCCCTATAATTAATCGGGCCTTTTTTCTAATGTCTGCCTTCTAATGGTACTACAACCCTATTTGGGAAGTTGGGAGAGTATAGATATCTTTTTTCTTGTAATAACTCATGTAATATTTTATCCATTCGTCCATCTGTATTAGTTTTATCTTTACCTTTTCATTAGTACCTATTCTGTCTGAAGTTCCTTACCATTTTCCATACCTCCCTTGCATTTAAGCTTCCCATTTAGCTATCTATATTTTTACATTTTTTTTTACCAAAATTGGTGTTTTTATAGTTTGTCTTTTACACTTCTGTCTTCTTGATCTCCTGTGGTGAGCCACTTTTGGTAAGCTTTCTTCTTTTCTTTTATTTGGTTTTCTATCTTTATTGCTCACAATATGGTTTTTTGGTTTTATTTGGTTTTTTCCTTCCAATGGCTTCTTTTACTGCTAGGTGTATTTCAGTTTTCATATCGTTCTTCATTTGTTATTCTTTGGAATGTTCTTCGTGCCGCTTAAACCTGTAGCTTGAATCGTCGCAAAGCATGATCGGTATGGTGTAAAATTATCTAGGCCAGAGAGCGCTAGTTTCTTCGAACGTTTGTTCAGTGGCGTAGCTAGCGAACTGATATAATACTATTATTGATTTTTTTATTGAGAGCTGGTGTTCTATATTATTTATATTTTTTATCTCTTTATATCCAAAGAAAAAAGAAACCATTACACATTCTTAATGAATACTGGAAACATAGGTCAATCGGTCCTGTCATTCAAGACGTTTTCTCCAAATCGGCCTACCTTTTTGTTATCTACTATCCATTTCTTCCAGTTTTTGCATTAAGGTCTCCCTTCAATATAATTTCTTTCCGACTGTTTAGCCTTCTGTTTTTTAATGTTTCTTATAGAATTTCTTCGAACTGATCTTTGTCTTCATCTTTTCTGTCATCGGTGGGGGCATATACTCCTATTATGACTATATTTCTTTCATTTATGGCTGTCCAATCCTTAACGTATTTATTACATTTTTTTTCTTGTTGCTACATACACTCCCCTTTTTGCTCTTTGGTTTTTATTTACTCCGCTGCATTAATGAATAAAAACATCTAAGTGTAGTAAAAATCTAGTATAATATATATTGAAAAAGTTGTAAATAAAAATGTTAAGTTTTTACAAGATATATATCTAATTGTCTAATTTATATAGCGCGCTGTGAAACAAGCAAACGTTTCTAGAAATTTGGTGGCACCTAAAGGAGGTTTCGATGCCATATTACAAGCATTACAATGTAGTCATCAGATTGGTTGGAGATATCAAGCTAGAAAATTGCTGGTAGTTTCCACAGATGATAATTTCCACATCGCTGGAGATGGAAAAGTAAGTATATTATTTTATGTATCATACTTGACCACATCCAACATCTATAAAACACTGTACTATTAGATTTCCCCCAGTACTAGTCCTCCCAGGAATTTTAGTTTTTCCAGAAACTTTAAAAACGATTTTATTAACGTCTAATTTTTTGGCTTTATTCAAACATCACTAAAATTGAAATGCAACTACTTTAATTTACATTATTTATTTACAACTTGCTTGGAACAACAATTTATTTGAGACTTATCATAACGAATTTATAACACCGACGGCGTGAATCTAAATTATTTCTATATTTATATTAAGTTCCGTTAACCTAGAGTTTTCTTAATTTTGCTAGAAGTATGTGGACTGGTTTTTTACCTTCGATAGTCGTTTTTCGATTCATAGCAATAAGTTTTAAAGCCTTTACCATTACGGACAAAGGGTTTTGAAATAGACCTATCGATGCTTGAATCTGAAAAAATCGTAGTTTGGTGACTGGCGGCTAACAGGACCATCCCTCCTTAAGAGATAGTTTCTCCTAATACCGTATTGGAACTGGAACTGGATGCTGGTATCGGCAACTGGACCCACTTTTTCAAAACTCCCAGTTGTATAAAACTGACAGGGGATGGTTTCCTCCCCACACCAATACCTTTGCACGTTGGACTCCGTGCTCTCTCAATTGAACAAATGTTTCCCATACTAGGCAGGTAGGTTGGTCATGGGCAGTATCTTTTGTTACCAGATATAAAAGTTAACGTGATGCATCTTGAAGTTTCAAAGCTTTTCCGGGAGCTGGCAGTTGGCATTGAAGTTTACTAACTCGACCAAACTTCCTGCGCAATATGGCTGCCAACCCTGTTACCTTAGTGCATCTTTAATACTGGACGAGATAATATGGGCTAATAAGTAGTCATCTGGAAGTGCGAGTAGATCCTGCTTGTCTCGCTTTACCGATACCCCCATAGGCACCTATGAATTCCTCAAACGTGAGGTCTGATACTTCTTAGACTTGATTTACTTCCACCTCTTCATCTACGTCGTGGTCTCCTTCGAATGACGCCAGCCGGTTATGGTGTACTATCATCGGCTTTTCCCTCGGAATCTCGCTCATTCGGTAGATAACATCGTTAATCTTCTCCATAATAAGGTACGGACTGCTGCGGATGATAAGGTCTCATAGGAGCCTTTTTTTCCGATAAGGTCCGTTACTCGTATTACAGGTAGTAAATTCTTACACCAGTCCTATCGTGTAACCGACGAAGTACTTCGGCTATTCTCCTCTTTGGCTTCACCAACTGTCTTCTCTTTTCTGAACCATCATCATCTTCCAGTACTCGTTTAAGCAAGCTGTCTTCCATGATAAAAGAGTCTCACTGGACCCAATACGTCTGAACTCCTAAGCATAGGCTTGATATTTTTTGTCAACGTGGTCGACGGTTTACTTCTTTCCATTTTAGAATTTTCTGTAAAACTGGATCATTCTCTTTTTCTTCTTTGATCTAAGTAGGTGTCCACTCGTCGTTGACCATCTTTGTTCCTAACACTGCTCCTTCTTTAGACTCTGTTTTGTTGCAGTGGGTACACTCTGCTGAGCACGGCCTTCTAGAAAGAGAATCAGCGTTTTGGTGGCTAACTCCGGCCTGATGCTCAATCTCGAAATCGTATTCTTGAAGTCATTGTATCCATCTGGCTATCTGACCCTCTGGATTCTTAAACTGCAATAACCACTTGAAGGCGATTCGGATTAAAAACTTTCCTCCGTAGAGGTGTTGGTAGAGGTACTCTACTGATTTCACTACTGCTAGAAGTTCTCTTCTCTTGACGCAATAATTCCGCTCAGGTTTTGAAAGCACTTTAGTCTTTACTACAAAGACTAAAATATGCAAATACTTGTTCCTGTCCTCCTTGAATCTAAGATAGCACTTCTCCAATTTCTACATTACTTGCATCTCGGTATCTAACATAAACTCTCCTTCTGACATTGGATACCCCAATATTGGTGTTGTGATCAAATGCTTCTTCAAGGTTCCAAAGGCAGTTTGACAGTTCTGATCGCGGCAGTAATCTCTTGCTTCCTCTGCAAGTCGCGTTAATGGTTTAGCGATATCTGCAAACCTTATCTTAATGAACCGATATCTTAATGAACCTTCGATAGTAAGTACATAGCCCAAGAAAACTTCTCACTTAATGTTTGTCAGTCTGTTCTAGCAATTCCTTAATGGAATCGATCTTTTCCCTATCTACGGCCACCCCTTTCTTGCTGATTTATTATTATGGCCCAAATAATTTACTTTACTTTAAAATAGTTGGCACTTCTTGGAGTTTAACATCAATTGGGCAGCTTTAAATCTATTAAAAACGTTATCTAAATTTTTTATATGGTCTATAAAGTCTCCCCCAAGACGATTAGGTCATCTAAATACACCAGGCACGTTTTTTAAGATAACCCACTCAACACATTTTCCATAAGCCTCTTAAATGTCTCAGAAGCAGTACAGAATCCAAATGGCATAGCGTTGAATTGCCATAATCCAAATCTTGTGGTGAAGGCTGTCTTCTCTTTATCTACTGGTTCCACTTCTACCTTTCAGTATTCAGATTTCAATTTCAAAGAAGAAAACAATTTACTTTCAGTAAATGTATTATCATTCCGTCTTTCTCGTCGAGCTGATTGACAAACTGACAGCATTATCAGTATCAATTTTATGTTTAACAACGGTAGTTCTTCTCGTCTTTTCCTCTTTCCATACGAAAATGTCACGATACTGTCGCAGAAATTACTTTAACTTATTTTATTCCACCTGATTTAGAGATTGGTCAGCAACTGCAACTATTTGGTCGAATTTGTCTGACGGATTATGGAAGTCACAGGTATACATGTTTCTACTTTTGTCTCTTTCTTGATGGTGAATGGGTAGTCATTGACTAATTATGCTACATTGCTATACATTGACTAATTCCTTTCCAATTATGATTACACGGATAACCTCTTTATCACGGTTCCAAGGTTCCATTATAACAGGTGTTCCTTCTTCCAGCCGCGCTACTATGATCGTTTCATTTCTCGTAGGCATAACTGTATCTACTTTAACGGCTGTTTGCATAGTGATGTCATGATGTGAATAAAGGAATAACTCCTTGTTATAACTTCGATTAGCTTATTCTTAAAGTCCAATTAAAATCCATGAAAATTCATTACGTCCATTCCTAATGTAACATAGTCTTTAATGTCAGCAACTATTACAGTATAGACGAACTTTTCTGCTCAAATTCCTAATTGTATAAAGTCCAGATCGCTCCGGTATCCACCAACAATGTGTAAACACTATCTTCACGGCATTTCAAAGAAATTATTAGTACTAGATAGTCTTTGAAAAAGATCCTGGTGGAAGCTGCACGACTAAGTGTTTCCTACTGGCGAGTTTCTTGATTTGTGTTGTACTTAGGGTTTTTACTTAAACTTTGTGCGTGCCCCTTTTCACCACAATTACAGCAGCTTATAGTCTTCGTTTTCTTGGATGTAATTCCTTTCATCATATTAACAAGCTTATCAAGTTAGTCTTTATCCTATGCCTCTTTTATAGTGCCAACTTTACTCTACCCACCAGAAGCCTGCGTAGCTGATTCGTATTAGAGGGCAGCGGACAAGACATCGATCAGCATCTTGTGACGAGCTAATCACAGTATTCTTTGCATTTTATGATCACGAAGACTCTCAATAGCCAACTTTTTCATTATGTCTTTGGGAGCTGTTGAATAACCGTATCGTACTAATCTCTCAATATCTGCCTCATATTCTTGAAGAGCCTCATCTCTCTTTTGTCTTAATCTCTTTTTAAGTTGTTCGAAATCATCTGTCTCCTTTACGGCTACGGTCTGAAGCACATCTAATGCCTCCACTACACATCGGCAGAAGCGTCTACGAACGCATCTGCAGATGTATCAGCACAAGCTGACCACACATCTGGACACATCTATCGTTCAGTTTGTGTTAATTCCCGAGAGACGCAATATCTGACGTCCACACCGAAACTCCTTGATTTGTGCTAAAAAAACCGACAACAATCGCATATCATGCAGACGCATCCGCGGACGTGATATATAAACAACAGATGATCAAATTACCTACCCAGTCTACACATCTCCAGATGCATACGTACATGTAGATGTAGATGTTCGCGGATGCGTCTGCCAATGTGTAGAGGAGCCATAAGGCATCTTCTCGAAGAGCAATAATCAGGTTCAGCCTGTTCTTTTTTGGAACATCCATTCGCTCTTGCCGCTTATTCGAACTGTTTCGTATATTTGCTCCATGATGATTCTCCGTCAGAAGTTGGGACCTTAACACGAACAGTCTCCACTCGCTTCAAATATCGGCCGTGCTTAAAACTTACATTTCACCTAGTCGTCGTTTGTCTCTACTCTAATTGATTATGTTTCTTTGTCTGCTGTTCCTATTTCCTCTATCTTCTTTTCTGTAGCAACTTGAATTTTAAGGAAGATATTTTATCATCAAAGTCAGAATTGATCTTGGAGCTTTTCAAAGAGATGCTAGCAGAAACTCTGCTTTCCAGAGAAGAAATCTTGTTAGGAACTTTGTTTTCCAGAGACACAATGTCACCCGAAACTTTATTTTTTAAGATGTAATGTCACCAGAAACTTTCAAAATCGACGAGATCACAGATGCATGTTTATCCTCAAATACATAAGTTTCCGGGTCGAATCACCCTTCTTTCAAGGTGTCCTTTAGTCGTTGGGCTAAATCAACCCTTTTTCCAATAGAATCAGGATCCCGATCTTCCAGTCTAATCGTAATTTTGAGATTTTTAGATGCATACTTGCTTAGTCATTTTCACTTAATTTATTTAGAACCAATATACTAAACATTAAAAATTGTCCATCATTTTCATAAAAAATAAGTGTTTCAAGTTTAAGTGAGCAAAATTATTATTTAATAATCACACAATCCTTTCCATTCGCTCATAAATATAATAGCAAGTACTTTTCTCAAATGT